TCTCACTTACAGTCCTAGACAGTCATGGGTGATTGGTGTAGGCACAGACATCTGGCTGCAGCAGGGAGACACAATCTGAGCAAGGCAAGGGGCTGAAGGCTGCCCCTGAGTGTCCAGGAGGAAGGCATATCCCTGTTCCCTAAAGCACATAGATGGGTGGGTTTTGCAGCTGGACTATGAGCACCTAATGCTGTTGGCTGTAAGGACTAGGGGGCACCTCTTATTCATGGGCCCCTCTCACAGATGGCTAGGTGGTGTGGGTGGAGCCACCAGTCCTCAGCCCCCTGATGTGGGTAGGTGAAGACCCTGTCTAATGGGCAGAGCAGTGTCAAACGTCAAGAACCTGCCACTTCACAGCTGAAACAGTTGAAGTTGGAGTTCCGGTATATACGCTGTTGTACTGCAGTAATGAGGGCCTACGCTGTTGAGATGGGCCCACACAAGTCTATGCAGGGGAAAAGGCACTCAAAGTCCGTGGATCCCTTATGCTTATTCCTAGGCAAAGGAACTGTGCTTACCCTGGGTTCCTGGCTTAGGGGAGCCAGCAGTTTATTTTTTCCCCTGTTTGTTAATTTGTTCACTCCCCAAGGCAGGGAGAATGGCTCCGGGCATGTGACAGATTCTACTTCTGGCCCAGGGGACTCGGTAATTGCTGAAGCCGGCCTGGTACCCAGTGCAGAGCAGGGAGAAGGGAGGTAAATGGGAGAGAGGTTTTTCCCTAAGGGGGGTGTTTTTGATCCACATGGTAAGCCATAGGCAAGTACTTATCTTTCATAGCGGGCTGCTTCTCACTGGTTCTGGGTGTTCTTGTAGAGTCTCTGGTGCTGGGTCTCTCCCAGTGTGGAAAATGCACCTCCCAAGCAGGGCTGCTTGCCTGCCTCACCGCTCATCCCTGAGCTAATCAGGCCTGAAGGGCTCAGGCTCTCCCAGGGTCAGGTCTGGCAACTCCTGGCTGCTTCCGAATCGTCTCTCCCTCTCCCTGCCACTCAGTGCGATTCCTCAACTCTGCCTTTGATGTTCAGGGCTCCCAGGTTGCCACATATAATCGAATCACTTGTTTTTTCGGGTCTTTGTTGTAAGAGGGTCCACCAGCAGCATCTGACTACTCCGCTATCTTGGCCCCTCCTCCCTATTGGTTTCTTTTAATAAATATCAGTAGCCTCCAGCAATCAATGGTATATGGGGTGGGGTGCATACATCCCATCCCCTTCACCTCACTACCTGAGGGTATGCTATTATAAAAACAAGTCTTAGACCAAATTCTGCCAAACTTCATTTATTAGCAAATTAGGCACAAAATCCACAATTGGTTCTTCTAAGAGTGGGGTGGGGGGAGGATAAGGTCCCATAAGCACCGTGCATTAAAGATTCGCTCCAAGGGAGACCTGCCCATATCATAGGCAGTCAAGCACAAAAGTCCTTAGTGAAGAGGGGAGGCACAGGCCCCAGGGCTCTGGACCTTGAGGGCTGCCCCGAAGGTATGAAGGAAGGTATGAAGCCGCTAAATTTGCTGATTTTGATACCTTGTTCTGCAAGGAAGTTGAGCTGCCATCTTTCTAGCTAAACTACCTTGAGCTGCTCTTTCATCAGCAGTGAATAATTATTTTTGACATTCCTAATGCTAATTAACAAACCCCTGGTGTAGATCTCTGTGATTTGAAAAGCTAAGGCAGTCTCCTCTAGAGTGTGTTTAGGGTACTTCAACTATTCTCTCACTGCCCTGGGGGTGTAGATTAAAGTTAATATTAAAAAAAAAAAAAACAAAAAAAACACTTGCCATCCAGTTGATTTCAACTTACGGCAACCCCGTGTGTTGCAGAGTAAAACTGCCCCACAGGAATTTTAAGGCTGTGTCCTTTTGGAAGCAGATCACCAGGATTTTCTTCTGAGGCACCTCTGACTGGGTTTGAACTGCCAGCCTTATCAGTCAGTAGTTGAGTGCTTCACGATTTGCGCCATCCAGGGACTCCTAAGTTAATATATACACATGCATTACACTTTTTACAAAGAAAAAATATTTTTAAGCAAATTGTCACACATATAAAATGATACAATCACACAAATGAAAGGGGCCTGAGAAACCACCTGGTTTGTTGGTTTCATTCATTCATTTATTCATCCACTCATATAACAGTGCTTATATGAATATATCCTTACTTTATGCCAGGCATTGTTGAAGGTACCGGGGCTGGAGTGGTGAACAGGAAAGATGGTCCCTGACACAATGGAGTTTATATTAGTAGAAGCTAATGATAAACAAATAAAACATAAATATATAATCTAATGTCTGATGGTGATAACTCCTATGAAGGGAAATAAAAGCAGTATCAGAACAGCGCTGTCCAATAGAAATATAATAGAAGTCACATATGTAATTTCAAAATTTCCTGTAGCCACATTTTAAAAAGAGAAATGGGTAATGATTAATGATATGATTTATTTAGCCCAATAGAGTATATCCAAAATATTATCATCAAAACATGCAATAAATATAAAAATTATTGAGACAGCTTACGTTCTTTTTTTTCTTTTTTTGTTTATTATTGTAGTTTAAGTGAAAGTTTACATTTCAAGTTAGTCTCTCATACAAAAATTTATACATACATTGTTATGTGACCCTAATTGCTCTCCCTATACTGTGACAGCACACTCCCCCTTTCCACCCCTGATTTCCCATGTCCATTCAACCAGCTCCTAACCCTCTCTGCCTTCTCATCTCACCTCCAGACAGAAGCTACCCATTTAGTCTCATGTATCTACTTGAGCTAAGAAGCACCCACTTCACGAGTATCATTTTATGTCCCACAGTCCAGTCCAATCTTTGTCTGAAGAGTTGGCCTTGGAAATTCTTTTAGTTCTGGGCTGATAGAGAATCCAGGGGCCATGCTTTCC